GACCGTCTTGAATTATGAGCAGAGTCAATGTCGCCCGGTTTAGCGGTCTCTTTGTGTTGGAGAGTGCTTTGCTCGCGCTTCCAAGTGACGTTACGAGCCAAGTCTACAGAGAAAGTTGCAAACCCCGAGCCAGCAAGGACCCTAGATTGTGTCGTAGACGTAGCCGACAGAAGAATGACTGTATTCTGTAGCAAAGCCGAAATGCGATGAACCATAGTGCTATTAGCTGTTGACAGGGTTGAAGCATGAGCTTCGAGAAGTAGTTCTTGTGCTTGTCTCAATGCTTCAGCGAATGCAGGAACACTGGTTTCCTTGGAGTTCTTTCGCTCAGTGGCTCCTGCGCGTCCTTTACGTGGAGGCGTCTGGCCCTGCGAAGCCTTCGTCTTGTCAGAAGCAGCAATAGCAGGGAACGAAATGGTCGAGTCTTGGATGACGGAGAATACAGGGTCGTGAATCATCTGCTCTGTGCTATGACCGATAAGAGAGATTGCAGTCACGACTTGTTCCTGAGATAGAGTCCCGAAGAGCTTTGGCAACTCTCTGGCATCCTCCAAGGTTGATAAAGCAGAAGCCCAATCCTTCTGACTGATGAAACCTAAAGCCCGCGATAGGATGATCGATGCCATAAGAGAAGCCTGGTATGCATCTTTTGGTAGCTTTAGAACCTCTGCAGCAGATGGCTGAACCTTGACAATGACCTCCTGCTTTCGGGTTCGTGGTGCAGGATTTGCAGCAGTCTTAGCCCTTGTCGTCCTGGTGGCAGCTCGAGTAGCGCGTGTAGCAGCTGTTGCTCGTGATTTGGCAGCAACCGGAGCGGTTTTCTTCACCTCGTTCTGGATGCTTAGCACCTTTCTATGATCGCCAAGGCGTTGCGCAGTCTCCTCGGCAAGCTGAAGTAGTTCACGAGCTTTGTCTTCGTCGCCGCTATCGCGAAACAAGCCGCCAAGTTGACAAGCAACCTGTACCCGAGAAGCTGAGATGTCTTCCGGCAACTCGTTGAACGCCTCATTGCCGAAATCGAGTGCCTTGGTTAGCTTTCCAGCTCGGTGGTAGACGGAACCCGTCCAAGCGAGTACCTGTGCCCGATAGAGTGGTGAGCCTGTGCTTTCAGCAATCTTTTGGGCCGACTCTGCGTAGTAAATGGTCTCCTGGTACATGCCAAGATGGGCATAGACAGAAGAAACATGCAGGAGACCTCGCAAAAGGGGGAAAGCAAGTGCCCAGAATCGTGGACCGATCACCTGGCCAAGCTTGGCGTCAGCCTTGACACTATCAAGACTAGCTGTTGAGACGTTCATAACGCTCGTGCTGGCTGCTCGGGATGCTGTCGCTTCGATCTTGGACCAATCGTGTGAAAGAATTCGAACGCTTGATTTAACGCAGGTAAGCGCGTCTTGTATCCGACCACGCTTTAACGCGAGAACTGAGTCTAGGAACGAGCTGAGGGCTAGAGATATGTTGACTTGTGATTTTGACAATGCCCACGATGAAGCAGATCCATTGTAAATGGCCTTTGCAGCCGCCAATGAGGAATCGCTAGAAATGGGTTAGAATGGTTCCATTTTCTGAGTGTTATGAACTCACGCTTCATCGATGCTACCAATGCCAGAGTAATACTCGGCTTGTGTCAAATGAAACCCAGCAATCAGGCCACGAGAGGCACCGTCGGCTTGGTCCAAAAGCTTCTTTGTCTCATCCAGTGTTTGTTTTGCCTCAGAGAAGTGACCGATATTGAGATGTTGTGATGCAAGAAGAGTATGATTAAGGATCACGTTGTTATAGGTCGGTTCGGCCAGAATCTTGGACAGAGGTGTTGACAGCTCTAAGATCTCAAGCTGCAGACTGTTCTCACCCCGAAGGCTGGCGAAGTGGCTGGCAGATTGCAGGTGTGTCAGAAGCCCATCAGGATTGTCGATTCGCTCATAGACATCGTTTCTGGATTTGCATGATTCAGTCATCGATTTCCAAGAGACAACGGCTTCTCTCAGGGCAAACACTGGGAGAGGAGCGCTAGTGACAGCCAATGCAGACATTGACTTCTGTAATGCCCTGAGATGTGGAAGATAACGAAGCAGAGAACCGTCATCGCCATAGTCTTTGTTGTCCAGTTGTTGGATTGTTTCTCCAGCCAAGTTGGAAATTTGCTCCATTTCGTTCTCTTCACCAATGGTCTGGAAGAGCAGCTGGAGCAGAACTCTAAGGCGCCGAATTGGGAAGCGGTCGGGTGTGTAGATTCGCAGAAGAGCCTGGACTGATGGATCGTGTAGTTTGAGCCGCTCTGCCCTAGCTGCAGTGTCTCCCACGATTTGCATCAAGTGTTCGAGTACTGCAGCTCGCTCACCCTCCGGCAGAAAGAATGCCCAGTCGTTCCATGAGTGATCAAGCTTAGCAATTGAACGTAGTGTTCGGGACAATATCTCTGCCTTATCATCAGCACTCCAAGCAATGCTCGGAGGTTGAGAATCCAGTGCTGTAGTAACATTGACTAAGGCGCCCTCCTCAATCATGTTGGTACAGATTGATCGGAGAGTTCTGATTGCATCCTCACTTCGGTTTGCAGCCTTGCAGAGATCGGCAAACAACTCCAGCTTGGTTGACATATGAGCCTTCTCCTGTTGGGCCATGGGCCGATCCTGAATAATCTCAATTGATCGACTCAAACACTGAAGAATCTCCTTATTGACTTGTTTGGACTTGCCGAGGTCCTTGCGTATTTGATTGTACCTGGCAAAATACAGACTGGATATTTTCGCAAAATAGCCACTGAGCTGCTCCGTTCGTGCCCTTGAAATCGTGGGATCGAGAACAGCATCAATCAGTTTGTTGCAGTCCCAGAGAACCTCATCCATATGCTTCCAAGTAATAGAGTCGGCCTGGATATCGCCGTTAATGACCACTAACGCGCCATCGAGAATCTGATTGATCGACTGCATCAAAACCTCTCGTCGTTGGTCGAACTGGAGGACGGATTTGGCTGAAGCGTCTCTGCTGGGGGGAGCGCCTAGCCAACGGCGGCCGAACCGTGGAAACTTAGTGATGAATGTCTTCAGATGCTCCAGGATCAACTTCAACGTGTCATCCTTTACTTCTGAACCATTCGAGTTGCTAACGAGGAACCCAACAGCTGACCGTCGAGCGAGTGAGAGACTCTCTAGCAGTTCATTAAGGTCGGTGATGTTTCCACTCAAACTCCCTTCGAGGCTCTCTGTAACCTCTTGAACCAGCTGTTGCGTCTTGGTATCATGCTTGGATTGTTTCAACAGTGCAGCGAGAAGGCGGGCCGAAATGGAAAACATGCGAATAGCCGATTCCCCGTCAGGTTCTAGTATATCCTTCAGTTTCTGGAACCAGTGGCATGCTGCATCGTTTTGGCGGTCCGTTTGAGCTGCGACACCAAGCAGTTGGTAAATGGAAGTTAGGGCAGAGTCGAATGAAGCCTTGGCTTGGGACTTATGTGGCCCGACTAGATCCGTGAGCGCGTAGAAGGATGCTGCAATCAAATCGTATGTTAGTCCATTCGTGGGTGGCTGTCGTCGAGTATATGCGCGAACGCATCGAGAAAACGGCGAAAGAATATCGTCCTCAACATTTCCACGGTGACCAGCCATTTTCCACCATCTAAGCTGAATCTTGAAACAGAGCACTTGCAGCTTGAAAGCTGAAGTTGGAGACGGACTCAGTCTCAACTCTGTCGCAACTGCATCTTCCTTGCTAGAAACACTGGGTGCTAGTGAAAGAAGCGTCTGGGATAGTGAGGCTAGTTGTCGGGCTGCTTTTTGGGTTTCCTTCGCGTTTTTGGCCCCCAATCTCACTAAGAGGTTGATGGGGGAAGATACATGAGATTCCTCGAGAAGTGGTAGCACGGCCTCGATATGAGCTGGTTTCTTGGAATGCGCAATCCATCGCAGTACTTGAATTTGACAACCTGTAACCATTGGTAGCAAGTTATCGGGAATCTTGTCACCATAGTCGAGCAACTCCAAAATGACTTGAGCAGCTGTTTGCCCTTCGGTAGAGTTCGGTTTCGTTGACTTGTTAACTCCAGCATCGAGCCGTCGCTTTAAAATCCTCAGCTCCTTTAACGCCTGATCTTGAAACCCAAGCGCCAGAAGTTTGCTAATGAATGCTGACATTCCATTCTCGAGTTGGAAATCTGTTTGTGCCACCTGCATTGGGCCCGTAATAGATCGTAGACAGGTGAAAGCCACGCGCGCGCACTCGACAGCAGCGAGACATCCTGTAGACTGCGTTGCCGCATGTGTTGCTGCTTTGGCGGCAATGTTTGGCGAGGTAGCTACGCGATTCAAAGTTCGTGGCTGCAGCGGTGATAACGGTGCGGATAGGGATCTCCGCAACGTTCGAGGACCAGAGGTTTTCTTGGAGTCTCCCTGAGATGCTTGTTGCTTAATCGGAGTCGCAGGAGTGGTAGGTTTCGCAGCTTCATTTAGAGACCTGATGCAAATGTTGATTACATGTGTTGCCAGAGCTGCACGGTCTTTCGATGAAAGCTGCTCGCTGGTAGACTTTGCTGTCTGAGTTTTGCCGCCCGCGGTTCGTTTTGCCTTCGAGTTTGTCGTTGTCTTAGAGGCCGTTCGTGAATTGGCTTGTGATGCTGTGTATGAAGTCTCGATGTCGGGTAGCAGTAGTTCCTTAAGAGTCACGACTGTCGCAGTCGTGCATGTTGATGTTGAGGCTAGAGCTGTCTTGGCCGCGTCGGCCTTTGCCTGCAGTGAAGCCATTTAGATTATGAGTGTAATTTCGTTACCATGCCGTCGTCAAAAACCAAAAGCTCCTAATATGGAGGGAGGTACAGGTACAATATGCAAGTTGAAAACGCAAAGCTGCAGGTCTCTATGTCGCAATTGATAGTTAGTTGACTTTGTTAATCCTGGGGACCTAGCCCCGGAATTGGGCAAACACAGCTGGTTGTCCGGGGCAACTGTCGGTTCTCGGATCGGATGGTCCGTGCTTTCATATTCTCGGTAGAAGATCTTTGAAGTTTCGGGTCTCAATTACGCTAGCTAACGACATCAATCGTCGAGATTCAAAGATCGCAAAATGTCGCTTCGACAACTTTCACTTCGCCCTGGTTATATCCGAGTGGCCTCCTTTGTGTTCAGGACGTCGTATACCTCAGGATGCGGCATTCGATACTCGAGCACGGCCCCGGCTACAATTGTCGATAGGTCATTCTGGCAAAACTTGGTACCGAAGCCACTGAGAAAGGAAAATCGCCAGTTAAGGAAGAAGTCCAAGGAATGGAATCCCGCGACATTCTTTATTGCCATATTTCTTCTTATCGGGTCCATGTCGATTCAAATGATTACTTTACGAAATTCCTTTGATCGATACATGCGACAGTCAGAGGCTCGAATTGCATCCTTGCGGGAAGTTGTCGAGAAAATCCAACGAGGCGAGCCGGTTGACGTTGAGGGGGCACTTGGAACTGGAGATCCTGCAAAGGAAGCCGATTGGGAAGAGAGTATGAGCTGGATCCAGCCATTACGCTTACTAGTTGCTAACGAATCTTTGCAGTGTTGAAGGCGATTGAACGTGACGAAGCAATTCGCAAGTCGAAACGAGAGAAGCCAGAGCGAAGTGAGCCCGCAAGCACAGCCTCATCAACCTCAACCCAGAATGTAGAGTCTGTTAAGGCTGCACCGACAAACGCAAAACCCGGGAGTCTTGGTAATTTCATTTAGACGTATGAATCTATCCTCAGGATTGGGTAGTAATACACTGATAATCTAATTTCATGAGAGCATATCCTTGAAAACACCACGATTTCCGAAGGAAGCTTGGAGTGAAGCCTGTGTTGGTGCTTCTGATGGCGCAACATCGTTGCGCAGTGCAGAAAGAAGAGCAGGAAGGAGGTCGTCTGTCGATAATGCAACTCTCACTCCCTGCTCACCCTCTTGGTTGGGATCCATACCCGCGAAGAACTTATCCTCGCCTCTGATTCCGCCCATGCTGATAATGGCGATGGGCATACCCCGATCCTGAGCTCGCTTGACAAGCCTCCAAGCTGAATAAGTGGCAAGAGAGGTTCCAACAACGAGAAGCTTTCCCGCATTGTCAATGGCTTCCTCGGCAGTGTGTTTGATATGATTGTCAATGCTTTCTCCGAACATGACCACCGCAGGCTTCAGAATTCCCGCGGTGCTGGGAAGCTTCCATGCACCGTCTGTATCAACCTGGACAACATGTTGATGTCCGTCAGCATTCTTTGGAGGACTGGATAAGCATTTGGGACAAGAGGGGTATCTAAAGGTTGTATAGGGAGCATCTGGCAGATCCACATCGCCGTCGGGGTTCACCTTTAGACCTTTAAACCTGCGCTCAACTGGGTCTTCGGTGTCTAATGCCCCTGACTTGAGGGCCCTCTCGAGCAACTCGGCCCATTTAGGGTTGAGGGTGGCCAATTTCTCCTGGAATTCATATCTGGAGAACTCGTTTTTACAACTCGTGCAGACAACAGCTCTTAAATATCCATGTAATTCTAAAGTTGGTAGATCAGGATGAGCTCTTGGATGGAACGAGTCAACATTTTGAGTAATGACACTGCGTATCAGACCAAGATTCGCGAGATCTCTTATAGCATAGTGGCCGTTGTTTGGGGATGCCTTTTGGAGATTAGACCAGCCTAGAAAGCTTCGAGCCCAGTATCGTTTGCGAGATTCGTGACTCTTGAGGAATTCTGGGTAGTAGATAGGTCGATATGTCTTGTTGACCTTGTAAGTGCCCTTGACACCCCGGTAATCTGCTAAACCCGAAGCGACTGAAAGGCCTGCACCGGTGAGAACAACAGCGGATGCAGGTAAGTCGCTAGGAGACGGCGCAACAAAGAAGCGATGGAGAGCGGCGATAGCTCCAGGGAGTGTTGAAGCCGAAGCTGGTGCAATTACTGAAGGCAGGGGGAGGTCCGTGTAAGGGATCCTGAGCAGAGGCTTGCTCATTGGAGCCGCTTTTAGGATCGTAATGTTTAAGAATTACGAATACTCGGTATGATAATGCTTAAAGTGAAACTCAAGCCCAATCTCCAGTGGCTGACGAGGCTGTTTCCAATTGCTTGTGGAGGATTGGTTGAAAGAAGACCAAGTCGCCGGCCCTGCTGAGGCACTGACTCGAGCTGACCAGTGATGACGAGCTGGATACGAAAATTGAAATACAAGGACTGATATTAGACAAGAGGATGGCGTGGCATACAGTCATGAAGATGGTTGTAAATTTGGCTACAGGGATTATTCTTAGAGCCAGTACCGGTATGGAGAAGAGCGCGTCATTGGTTTCAGGGACGACTCTCAGCCTTGCAAGTAGGGGTTCATGTGGCATTGTGGCTGAATAATGCCTGAATTGACCTGCGGTTGAGGTGGGCGCTTTTTACTTGAATCCCCCACAACCCGAATCTGATAATGACAAAGAAGATGGTAAACTCGAGTCAGCTTTCAGGGTGGAATTGGTAAAGACAGGCCTCTGTGATTGATCGGAATAGGAGAACCATGATCGTACTGAATGGACGCAAGACAGGTATTGCTTCCACAAGGTACCTACCTGGGCTACTGGGTTACTCAATTGCCATAATGTACAGCAAATGCCCTGACGCAAACTTGACCATCCCTGAAAGCAGATGGCTCAGCGGTCAAGGCCAGGCCAGGCCAGTTGCTGGCTGTCCGGAGACCGGAACCTCGCGATCACTCATCAGGCGAGAGTGTCGTAGATAGTGGGTTCACCTCGCATCCTATCCTCAATGGCGTCGTAGGTCGGTGTCTTTTCCTACCAATTGCCGCACCAAGCTTCGATTTTGGTGGAGCTAAACTACTCTGTTTGTTTTATGTCTGATAATCTTGATAATCTTTTTTTTCCCTCTCTCTCGGGGAATTCTGTCTCTTCTTCGCATATTGACTCTTTTAACTCGCTCATGTGGCCTTGGTCCGCTTCCGACCGAGCCAAATCCGCTCGCTCTATTGAACCCGACTCGAAACTTGAACAGCTCCGTTAACGGGCATATGGCATTGGATAACCCGACGTCAACAAAACACACCATCTTTACTCTCCAACATTCGTCTATATCTATATCTGAACCGTGCTTCAGACCCTACGCAACTCCAAGGGAAAACACGCAACCCAATACCCGGCCCCTTCTCCCACTTTCCCGTGTTATCCGTATTTCCCCTGCAAGACAACATCTCGGATATACTGTATGAGTCTCCCGCAGGCCGGGCGTCCCACGGGCGCAGGCGCAGGCGCTGGAGTGACGTCGCCAATAGCTGGACCCGGAGCTGGAATTGGAGCTGGAGCCACGCACAGTCACAACCAGAGTCGTGGCTTTGCCTCATGGGGACATGGACATATCAATGGGCACCCTAATGTCCATATTTCACAACAAACCAAATACCGAGGCCAGATGACCCTTTTGAGATCAAATATAGCAACTCCCCACGTCGCTTGTCTACGTCTTCGCCTACGCGCCCTGCAAAAAGCATCCATTGTCGCCGCCCTATCGACGTGCGCCTACCTCACAGCCTCGTCTAAGCTCTCATCCTACCACGTATCAAATACTGCCTCCGTCGCTCGCCCTTCGACTAATTCGCTACCACATCTCGCTCCCTTTCGCAACAAACTTCGATCACCACCCTCACTCGTAAAAACTTCAATGTCGCAGATACGACCGCATACTGGCCAAGGCCACGACCACAAAGATGGTCATAATCACAGCCACGGTCATGACCACAGTCATAGCCATGGCATCTTGGGCCACCACCACCATCACGACAACGCATACCTAACTTCAGGCAACAAAGACGACCCCGGCGTCCGAATCACCCGGATTGGCTTGGTCTCTAACCTGGGTATGGCAATTGCTAAATTCGCTGGTGGATGGGCTTTCAACTCCAAAGCAATGACTGCCGACGCATGGCATAGCATCACAGATCTTGCATCTGATATCTTGACGCTCGCGACAGTCACATGGAGTCTAAAACCACCAACAGACAAATTCCCCATGGGCTTTGGCAAGGTAGAGAGTCTGGGATCACTCGGTGTCTCGAGCATGCTCTTGGCCGGAGGTCTTTACATGGGTTGGGACAGCGGTATCAGTCTTTATGGACACTTTTACCCTGAAGCGGCACATGGTATTCTGGAGCACGTCGGACACGGTCATAGCCATTCTCATGGAGCTGCAGCACTTGGGATCCCGAGTATGCATGCCGCTTGGCTTGCAGCAGGGACCATTCTGATTAAGGAATGGCTTTATCATGCGAGTAAGTGTTCTCCCAACCCTTAGGGTCGCGGCGCTAGACTGCGCGTGTGTAACGTAAGCCTTGGGATTGAAAGTATAAGAGCTGACCAATTACAGCAATGAAGGTTGCCCGGGAACGTAAATCGTCGGTTCTCGCGTCGAACGCCATTCATCACCGAGTCGACAGTTTAACGGGGTTCGTCACTTTGGCAGCCATCATGGGAGCTAATGCAATGGAGAATGCGGCGTGGCTGGATCCCGTCGGCGGTCTTCTCATCTCCATCATGGTTATCCAGGCTGGTGCCGGAAACACAGTTGCTGCTTTTCGCGAACTGGCAGACCAGGGCATTGATGATGAGATCAAGTCTTCAGTGACAAAACAGGCTAATAAAGCATTGAAGAACGTGGTTGAAGGACACGAAGTTGCCCTGCGCGAAGTGAGCGGTATCAAATCAGGCCAGAATTATCTTGTGGACCTCGAGATGACCGTGCCTGGTGCGTGGTCTGTTGACACAACGCAGCAGGTCGAAGACGCGGTGCGGACTCAAGTCGGAGGGAAAGTACGCGGTGTCAGAAGAGTTCGCATCCGATTCTCGCCCAGGGAGGCTACCGCCAAGGCAAGGTTTGACGACTTTATCCCTGGGACTGTGGTTCTGCCACCAGAGACCGAGGAGGATGCGTCTGAGGCAGAGGGCGAGTCGAACCACAATCACGAGCATCACGACCACCATGATCACAAGAGTAGTGGTCATGTTCATGAACCCAGTGGCTCCCACGAACAAGGCGATGGTCTCAGGAACAGAAACAAGCATTAGAGTGGAGGATGCCCTGTCAGAAGCGAGACTTTAGCCTGGGATCCTGGGATCGATCACGGCCATGCTGCATCTTGTTCTCTTTGAAGCTGCCCTTTGGTACGACAAGTCCAAGCCAACCTTACCCCTTGACTGGGGTCTAGCTCGGCTTCTTGGGGGTTGAGCTGCGGGCCAGTGGAGCCTGGCCGGATGAGAGGCCATAAGAGGTTCAGACTAGGATCTCTCAATAGCCGGCAGCTGTCGACCTGACCGTCGGTGAAGGAAGACCGATGGCATCTGCATGTGCATATGCAGTGAAAAGTGTACACCCTTTTCTATTTCATGTTTTTTCATCTTGTTCTGGGCCAGGGCCGGAATTGATAAGGAAGCAATTGGTGCAGTAGAGCAGACCATAGACATATGTACTCTAAAAGCGGAAGAGAAGGTACAAGGAAGTGTGTTTCGCGGGGCACATAACTTAAAGGGACAAGAAGAAGGGTCTACACTCATATAAAGACAACAACCCATGAGATTTTGACTATGCTACACAGACTGTAATGTGTGTACACTATGTACGGATAGAAAATGCAGATAAGAGAGGTACATGCAGGTCATCCTTGTGGCGTTTTTCAGCTTAGACGCGCCCCAACAGGAGAAGAGGGAATTAGACGGAGAACAAGAGAAGTAAAGTCGAACTGTCCATAATGTCGAAGAAAATGATGAGATTTCAGGCGGCAAGGATGTCACCGGACTTGAATGACCCCCATGTTTGAGGCTCATGGCTATAGGTAACCTTCAGCACACCCACCGAAATGCTCTTGAAGATGGAGTAGAGAAATATTCCAATGTCCTTCTGTATCCAGAGTCAAGGAAAGAGACAATTCTCATAGAAGCTGAATTCGATTTCCTCACGCCCCCTTCTTGCTGCCAGTTAGAAGCGCTCGTTACTCATTGGCTTGACTTTGTTCACGAGGAGCAGCCAGACTTTGAGAGGTCACGGGTTCTATTGGCCGGGATATAAACTGAAGATGGGACTGGGGTGGGAGCTGTTGATGGATTTAGGCTAAATGCAAATAGAGCTCTGGAATTGAAAGAAGAAGAAAGTGAAGACTTGATTGTCGAGAACATGTCATGATATGACAGTGAGCTTTTGTTATTTTTAATTTTTTTTGCATTGACTAATTGGAACTGACGATATTCTAATGCATAGAGTTAAGAAGAGTGTCGCACAGTAAGAAGTCTCTTGGCCATAATAATCCTCCTAATAGTCATGTTCTATCATGCTTCTTTTCTTGACTTTTGTAGTGTTTGTCCCTGGTGATCAATTCCTATTCTTCTGTTTCCACACCTCCTTCGGCTTAATCCGTATCACGACTTGCCTGAATGCGAATGCTTAAATTTCTCTGGTGTTGAGTGTCGTCTTTGCAACTAGGTAGGTATCTTATTATACACGCCCCTCCTGACGCTAGCCCAGGCTTCCTTTTATCGATCATCAAGGGTCTTATTGAAAAACTGGGGTTGGCTCGTTGGGTTGAACGACTCATTCAGCGGAGAAGACAACCCCACGTTGATACGGAGGATGGAAAGTGAGAGAAAAAATCTCGATATTTCTTTTTGAGAGGTACGTAGTTGGCTTTTCTGATGGTATCGAAGTCGGAATTGGATAATTGCTTTACAAGAGGGAGGGAGAGAGAGAAAAGATATGTCAAAATAAAAGAATCGCATCTTGTTCATTTTTAGGCAAAGACGACCCAGCTACCAGGTAATCTATATGCAATAGCAGCAAATAGGTAGACACGACACACCTTGGTGAACGTACGGATATATTCCCCGGGCATGGAATTGTGTTCATATGACCTCTCAGCCCAATTTTTACGACATGATTTTGGTGACTATTGTCTTTGTGTAAATAGATGAAGTAGGGACATGGAATTATTGGCTTTGTATGGGTGTATCATATTGGTATTGGCATTGTCATTACTGCATCCACGCCTTACAGTCAATGCTAGCTTTGGAGTTGATTTCTGATGCATGTTACCCACTGAAGACAACCTTAGTGTGTGTCTATCTCGTTCTTCCCTGTTGGAGGGTGGCGGTCTAACATGATGCAGTTACTGACTGGCAGTGACTGCTCAGCTAAGGCAAGGTACACGCGTTATAAGCTATAAAGCCCAGCTCGTGGCTTTTCCTGGTGGTTTCCCTGTCTCACACAACTTGACCCATATTCTACTGAGGCTTTTCACCCATTGCTCGCTGTAAAAGATCATCTACACCACACGCACGTACAAGACTGCCAATTCTTACGTCACCTACTGAATTGGCTCTCATTTCGTCATCTCGCTACCATTGACGTCGCCGTGGTTGGCGCCCTTGGATATAGTATCCTTACCTAGATTCAACAGCTCGACATTTGTCTGAAGCTCTTCGCAATGCCGTTCCTTGCTCGATCCAACTCCCCAGATCAGTCCTCGGACTTTAAGCCACTATACCTCGGCTTCGATCTGTCGACTCAACAGCTCAAAGGCACGTAAGCCAGATTCTCAGCTGCCGGCACAATTTGCTAACCCATATCCAGCTCTGGTTGTCGACTCAGACCTCAAGGTCAAAGGTGAAGCCAAGGTCGACTTCGACAAGGACTTTGGCCACAAATATGGCATCAAGAAGGGTGTCCATGTCTACGAGGAGACAGGCGAGGTCTATGCGCCCGTTGCCATGTGGCTCGAGTCTGTAGATCTCGTCCTGGACCGATTGGCCGAGTCTATGCCTGTTCCTCTATCTCATATTCGCGGTATCAGCGGCTCTTGTCAGCAGCATGGCAGTGTCTACTGGAATGGCAATGCCTACGAGATTCTTCACCATCTTGATCCTCGTCTCCCTCTGGTTGTTCAGCTACCACAGGCCCTTTCGCACCAATGGTCGCCCAATTGGCAGGATCAGAGCACTCAGGCTGAATGTGACGCTTTTGATGCTGCTCTTGGCGGTCGCCAGAAGCTTGCTGAGGTGACAGGCAGCGGTGCTCACCATGTAAGTTGATATTCTTAAATAGCCAGAGAAAACCAGTATTAACAAGTCTACCAGCGATTTACTGGAACCCAGATTATGCGCCTTAAGAAGGACCTCCCAGACATGTACGCCAAGACAGCTCACATTTCCCTCGTCTCGTCATGGCTGGCATCCGTCTTCCTCGGCGCCATCGCCCCTATGGATGTTAGCGATGTCTGTGGTATGAACCTCTGGGACATGTCCCGCCAAACATACAGCGAACCTCTTCTCGAGCTTGCTGCTGGAAGCAAGCGTGATGCCCTCAACCTACGAAAGAAACTGGGTGAGCCTTGCCTCGATGGCGCTGCTGTTTTGGGCTCTATCTCTCCCTATTTCGTGGACCGTCACGGCTTCCACCCTGACTGCCAGATCACACCATTCACCGGCGATAACCCCGGAACCATTCTCGCCCTTCCCCTTCGACCTCTCGACGCCATCGTCTCTCTCGGTACTTCGACGACATTCCTTATGAACACACCAAAGTACAAGCCTGATGGCGCTTACCACTTCTTCAACCACCCCACAACCGATGGCCACTACATGTTTATGTTGTGCTACAAGAATGGAGGCCTAGCACGTGAGCGAGTGCGAGACCAACTTCCCAAGCCTGAGAACGGCCCTACCGGCTGGGAGAACTTCAATAAGGCCATCGAGAACACTCCTGCTCTGGGCGCTGCCAAGGAGGACGATAGGCGCAAGCTTGGTCTATACTTCTACCTTACCGAAGTGGTACCCAACATCCGTGCAGGCACTTGGCGATACACATGCGAGCCAGATGGCTCTGACCTTCAGGAAGTCAAGGGAGGATGGGACAAGGAGACTGATGCTCGAGTGATTGTTGAGTCTCAGGCCCTGTCTATGCGTCTGCGCTCTCAGAACCTTGTTGAGAGCACTCGACCCGGCCTACCAGCTCAGCCCCGTCGTATCTACCTCGTTGGAGGTGGCTCTCTGAACCCAGCCATCGCCCGCGTCATTGGCGAGGTCCTCGGCGGCAGCGACGGTGTTTACAAGCTCGACGTTGGCGGTAATGCCTGCGCCCTTGGCGGAGCCTACAAGGCTCTCTGGGCTCTCGAGCGCCAGCCAAACGAGACATTCGACGAGCTCATTGGTAAGCGATGGACTGAGGAGGGTAACATCCAACGCATTGACGACGGTTACCGCGAGGGAACCTATCAGAAGTACGGCAACGTTCTCGGAGCCTTCGAAGGTCTGGAGAACAAGATCCTCACCGAGCAGGCTTTGGAGTCAAAGGACGGACGAAGACGGTCGCAGGAGAGTGCTTGATTTAAAATTCAGGGTATCTAATGTCTAAAATGGAGGAGTTTGTCTATGTCATTATCTAACGTACTTGCTCATGAAGCGCCTATGAAAGTCGGAACGGAGGAGATCCTAAAGGTCTGGGTTAGCGAATGATGTCTTTTCATCTTTGAAGGAAAAGGGGGGGGGAATGCATATAGAACTGAGTCGCTGGCAGAGAATGCTTTGCAAACGGAAGAATCACAAGACTTACGTTTACGAACTCCTTTTTCTTGCCCTTGTCTTCTGTGCCACGTGCCTGGTTCTTGAATACCACGTCATCGTCCCAGCGGCGCTTCATATTGAAATCTTGCTTGTTGAGAAGAGGATTTCCTAGGGCAATATCTCGTTCTCGGGCCTCTTCCTCTTCTTTGAGTCGCTCGGCCTCCTGCGATGTGTATCAGCAAACCATTATCTGCATCTAAGAATCGATCAGACTTACCTCTTTCTTCTTTCTCTCCTCTCGCTCTCTTCGTACACGGTCCAACTCTCTCTGCAGCTCTGCATCAGAGTCATCATCGCTATCCTCGTCGTCTTCACTGTCATCGTCGTCGTCCTCTTCGCTATCGTCGGCATCGATAGCTCTCGTTTCTGCTAATATCCGCCGTCTCTTCGCCTCTAAATCTTCCCCCTCACCTTCGGCGCTTGGAAGCGCTCGCTTCGCACCATTGGACACGCTGGTTTCGTCGTCCTCGTCGGCATCGTCAATGAGGGCAGGGGCGCCGTTCTTCTTGGTGAAATGGGCGGCTTCAGCAGCGAGAAGCTCAGCAGCGAGATCGCGCGTGGGTTCGTCAGCATCGCCGCCTTGACCGGCTTGACGATATTTGAGTTGGGTGTGGGCTGGGAGAAGGCGTTGATGGTATGCTGGACCTCGGAGGGCTTCTTTGCCACGGGCCTGTAAAAGTCAGTATGCGCTGAAGAAATAGAAGGGAGAATACGGACCGGATCGAACGTAGGTCTATGCGCGGTAGTCATGGCGATAGTTCCTCAATAAATTCTTGAAAAAAATGGTGTTTCAATGTCAATAAGAAGTCTTGAACATTGCCGACGCGAGGCGTACATGAGAAGCAGGCCTACCGTACATGGCGCCTCACCGCCCGGCAGAATTTCTTCAATGTTTCTCTCTGTCTGTTACGCTTTGGCAGTTTATAAACACAGCATTTCCTGTCACGAAATATTCACACAAAAATAATAGTCAATCATGCCTCGTGAAGCTGAACCTTCTCTTCCTGAGAGGACTTTTGTCACCCGAGCTCTCGATGAAGGTTTGCGATTAGACGGGCGCAAATTCGACGAGTTTCGACCTCTTGAACTCACCTTTGGAGATGAATATGGAGTTGCGGAAGTCAAGTATGGAAAAACAAGGTATTTCACTATTATATCTTAGTGATATATAGCTCTTGCTAATAAAACTCTTAGAGTTCTAGCAAAAGTCTCAGCAGAAGTCACCGTGCCATACTCAGACCGTCCCTTTGACGGAGTTTTCACAATCACATCAGAACTCAGTCCCATGGTTGCCCCTTCATATGAGGTCAACCGCCCTTCGCTCGAGGAGGTTCTTCTCTCCAGGCTTCTCGAGAAAACAATCAGAAGATCTGGTGCGCTAGACACCGAATCACTATGCCTCATCGCCGGCCAGAAATGTTGGTCTATCAGAGTCGATCTTCACGTCCTCACGCATGACGGAAACCTCACAGACGCGGCTTGTTTAGCAGTTGTTGCAGCTCTTCGACATTTCCGCAAGCCTGATTCCAGCATCGAGGGAGAAAACCTCACCATCTACACACCTGCTGAGCGAGAGCCCGTGCCTCTAAGCTGGCTACACTCCCCTTTCTGTGTCACCTTCAGCTTCTTTGGCGAAGATGGAAGCCAAGTCCTCGTTGATACCAACTGGCTTGAGGAGCAACTGCGAATTTCTCACTGCACATACAGTCTCAACAAGCATGGCGAGATTTGTCAGATTGCCAAACTGGGAGGAACTTCTCTTGACGCACCACTCTTCATCCAGTGTGCTCAAGGAGCACTCAACCGATCTAAGGAGCTATCTGACCTAGTGGATAGTAAGCTGGCTGAGGACGCAAAGCGAAGGGACAAAGGAGGGCTCATGGCAGAGTTGACAGCCGAGAATGACAGGTGAGGCTAACATCTGCAACTTAATACCAAGAAAAGCAATAAACCCAGAGGAAAATAGAAACCATGATACCCCGCAAAATGTTCGCCCAGTGTTTCCCGTGCTTCAAGGCTATGCAGTGATTTACTGATGCTCCATACAAACTCCGATACATACGCCAACCCAGGTACTGTCGTAGCTCATAAGCTCTAGTGATCGCACATAAAGGCCACTCATGTTAGAAACTACCGCATCACAGGCGGTCGAGACTCTTTGTTCCATTGTACTCTTGTCCTTACCCACTCGATAGCTTCTCGGACTCCGTCGCCAGTAAGAGCACTCATGGCCAGCACACGAGAGTCGCGGACAGCGGAGCCCTTGTCTCCCTCCATAACCTTCTTTACTAGACCCTCCTTGATGCGTATTGTCTCGACACAATCCTCGCGATCCTGTTTGTTTGCTAGAATTAGCAGTGGTACCCCTTCAGTTTCAGAGTGTTGTAGGACGTCCTCGAGGACTAGCCGACACTCCTCCAGTCTGCCAACGTTCTCTTCATGCTCAATGTTTCCGTCGCCAATATCTGTGCTGTCGATGATGAAGACTATAGCATGGCAGCTTGCATAGTAACTCTCCCAGAGCTTTCGGAGCGAGTGCTGACCGCCTACGTCCCAAAGCTTGAGGTACATGTCTTGTAGGGGTATCGTCGAAACGTTCTGGCCTACGGTGGGTACTGTCTTGAGCTTCGGGTCGGGTCTATTTGGTAGGAACATGGACTTGACTTGTTCGTGAAAGGTGGTTTTGCCGGCATTGTCAAGACCTAGAAGAATTACAGAGTATTCTAGCAAGATAGCGAGGTTAGCGTTCAAGGGAAGAAATCATGAGGTGTTGAAAGTACCTTCTTTGCTGGTCGCATAGAGGTAAATGCCTTTGGCGAGGTGATACATCGTGATCGCGAGTGCTCCTACAGATTATGCGCGTGATCGACGTTGTATGTAATTTTCAATGTACGTCGTAGACGCGACGGCGGAGTTGTTCAGCTAACTTAGGTTGTGAAGTTGACAGCTTCCAGTGGAAGTGAAGGCTTTCGAATACGGGGTTCAAATAGTTAAGTGCATAGGCTCCGGGGCCCGGCCCCTCCAGGAGCTAAATTTCAGTATGATTAGTGGATGGACCTGCTGAAGAGCCTCAACAGGAGACCCTGTCCCCCACCAACGGCCCCGCTAGCGTCCATGGATGCAATCGATGGAACTGATAATCAAGGACTGTGAGTTTTTCGATTAGGTAGACCACGAAGCCAGCGATGGTTGGTTAGCAAAACCACCTACTTTACATGGGGTCCAATGCTGTACGAGTTGAAAGCAAACTAGACCCCGAGTTTGGATATGTTTGCTTGTTTCTTTGTTTCAAGTCCCGAGGTTGGTATTACCTAGCATGATGGGTTATACTACATGCAGGAGACAAGGCATATCATGACAACTTCATGGTAGAATGATCTTACGTCATCTTTCTCTTCAGTGCTAATAGAATTTATCTGGGGAAACAGTATTTACAGTTGACTTCCTATCAGTCAGCACATGTCTTCGAATTAGAGATGTTTAGAGGTTAACTACCTTGATCAACTCGGCCTAGACGTGAACGACAACTCGGATTGGTAGGTAATATCCTTTGCATGAAAGATGAGCCAATCAGAGTCTTGATCTATTGAAAGCTGTCGCCTTTCATCTGGTGTACCTATCTTGGCTGCTCGGCCCACCTTGCACTTAGCTTAGTTCCATTACCTTACCTTACCTTAACCTTAGGTAGTATCCCTCTAGCTTCCTATCGCATACCCAGACCAGGGCACGCCAACTTGTTCCCTCCAACATTCGCTATTTCGCTGCCTGGGCTCTTCTTTCGTGTCGACGTCGTCAGCAGCAGCAGCAGCAACACCATCTACAGTAATTCGTCCTGCGGTTCCAATACCGCTTCCTCTCGATACTCGCGCTCCCTTGCGAATGTTCCAGTGCCGCAGCTTACGAGGCTCGCGCAAAGGGTTTCCCACTTGATCTGGACGATCGCGACGGCTTTAAATTATCGCAAAGAGACGGAGACGACGCAAATACAATGGCTTCCGCAAGACTCGTTGGAATGGGCTTCCAGCTCCTTAGTACGCTATTCATCACCTATGGAGCCCGACTCTAATTCCGCAACGTGAGACTGACGAATCGAACATAGAGCGAGCGACCGATGAAGAGAGCGATCCTGAGGGTGCGTTTTCCCATTCGAAAAGAGACAACTCACCACAAGAAATACTGACGATGACCTCCAGAGGGTGACTCTGCTCAGAAGGAATTGTTCGCGGCATGGGCGCTCTTCATCTCGATTATGCTGCTCATTATTGCTTTCTTCACAAGCTATATGCTGCAGATGAAGAAGGTCACTGCTATACATGAAACGGTTATATCCATCTTTGCTGGTGCGCTCCCTGAAATCAACTACCGGGGATCAATGGCTTACATGTCTTCTCCTTGCAGGAATGGTTGTTGGGCTTGTCTTGATGATAGCTTCTGGCGACTCTATTCGCAACATGATCAGTTTCGACTACCAAATCTTCTTCAACCTTCTTCTGCCACCTATTATTCTATCCTCGGGTTATGAGCTACATCAGGCCAACTTCTTCCGCAACATTGGTACCATCTTGACCTTTGCCTTTGCTGGAACCTTTCTGTCGGCTGTCGTTATTGGCTTGATCCTGTATATCTTTACACTCCTCCCCGGATCGCTGGGCATGACCTTTGTCGATGCGATTTCCGTGGGCGCAACTCTCTCCGCCACTGACCCTGTCACTATTCTCGCAATCTTCAACACCTACAAGGTTGACCCCAAGCTGTATACCATCATCTTTGGAGAGTCGATTCTCAATGATGCTATTGCCATTGTCATTTTCGAAACTGCGCAGAAGTACAAGAAGGGCGAGGCTGCTAATCTTGGCATCGTCAGCTTCTTCGAAGGTACAGGAATCTTTTTGCTCGTCTTCTTCTGCAGCATGTTTATTGGCTTCATTGTTGGCGTGGGCACTGCTTTGCTGCTTAAGTTTACCTACCTTCGCCGTATTCCCAAGATTGAGAGTTGTTTGATTGTCTTGATCGCCTACGCCACTTACTTCTTCTCTCACGGCCTTCATATGTCTGGTATGTTACTCCAGTCTTGGCTTGTGCTACACACATTCTAATTTCCATGCAGGTATTGTGTCGCTGCTCTTCTGCGGGATTACACTTAAGCACTATGCCTATTTCAACATGTCACGCCGAACTCAACTCACTACCAAGTTCATCTTTCAGATCTTATCGCAGTTGTCTGAGAACTTCATATTCATTTACCTGGGGCTGGCTTTGTTCACAGACAACAACCTTTCATTCCAGCCGCCTCTCATCATTGTCACTATTCTGGCTGTCTGTGCTGCCAGATGGGTCGCTGTATTCCCTTTGTCCAAGGCTATTAACTGGTTCATCCGATATCGCGCCAGCAGACGCGGTCAAGAGGTTGGCGATGAGCTGCCCTACAACTACCAGGCCATGCTCTACTGGGCTGGCCTCCGTGGAGCTGTCGGCGTGGCGCTTGCTGCTTTGCTCACTGGCGACAACGCGCCCGCACTTAGAGCTACTGTTCTGGTTGTTGTCGTGCTTACTGTCATCATTTTTGGTGGTACGACTGCTCGAATGCTTGAGATCCTGGGTATTCGGACTGGCGTTGTTGAAGAAGTCGACAGTGACGATGAGTTCGATATCGAGACCTTTGGCGGAGGCCTTCAGGTCAAGCGTTCAGGAACAGGGATCGGATATAATCCTCGCCGGAATGGCAGCGTCGCCCTTGGCAGTCTCGAGGCTGGCCAGTCTGCTAGTTATGTCTCAGGCGCCTCGTCTCCGCACACTGGTGGCCGCCCT